AGTACCAGTCCATTTTTGTGCTTTTCCAGGAATGTTTTGGTGGGAAAAGAGGTGAGGGATTGGTGGTTTGCAAAAAAGGGAGTTGAGGGAATATTTTCCTAACCACTTTGCTAGAACTTCAAGAAACCAACGTTTGCATGCTGGTGTTGGATGGGGTGAAAGCATTGTTATTTGTGGACAGTGACATTCTTCCTTCTTCTTTTATTTCAGATATATATAAATACTGCATTCATCTTCTGTATCCCATATGCTAAACACATGTGCCTGGATACTGTACCTAATTATCTATGGCACACATCAGCACAATACATCAGTTGATTAGGAAGCAACTGAGTAAAGAGGGCACTATTTTTTTTTCCAAAACCACTGTTTACCAGTCCCTTGAAGCAGTTGTTCCTGCTGGAACTGGGATGGTAAACTTTTCAGGTCACTCAGGATACCTTTAATGGGCCTTCTGATGGAACCATCTCTCTTTGTCTTTTCCTCACAGGGTCCAGTGATCCAGAGGTTCCTAATATTACATTAGTTCATGCTTTATATATTTTGATCTTTTGCTCACTTTCTTATATTTCCTCTTTGGTGAAATCTAATAACCCTTGGGAAGTATGTGATGTAACTAATCTATAGATCCTTAGATTTTCATTGTCCTTTCTGAGGAACATATTAGCTTCAATTAACCTTTTTTTGCAATTCCTGTTCACAGATGTAAGGACTTGGATTAGACTTATAAATTTGCCCTCGAATTGAAGCATGCAATGACAGTATTTACATAGGAGTAGAATGCAGCAGATGGAGATGGACCTCAAATTTCTGTAATGTTGTGAGATGTGTAGCGAAACATTTACCTACCAATATGAACAGGGAAGAATAAGTAACAGACTTAAGTTACTTAAGTTCTAGATTTTCAGGGACTTTTAAATAGATTTGTTCTTTGGGATCTCTGTGAAATCCCACATATAGGGTCTTGTGTGCAGGTGCAAGGCAGCTTGGAATTCTCTATAGCTTTAAGAAACTCTTGGTGGTAGGCCCCCTCACCCTGCACTGGAGGAAATAGCGATTAGATGGGGCTAGCACCTCAGTTCCTTTTCATCCGCCATGTTAGCAGCAGCAAGGAATTTATCTTAGATAAGTTGCCCTTTTAAGTGTTTGATTCTCCTGCCTACTGTAGTTTTGTTTTCATCTTGACCTTTGGTTGTTTGACTTCTTAGTTACTCCTACTTGCTGGTTTTTTCCTGTGCTTGACTTGCACGGACTACTACTGTGAGTACACTAAGTTTGGGACTTACTCCTTCCCTGTGGAAAAAGGAAGAGGGGCTGACCAAGGGCAAGATGGATGGATGGTATCCTTGAAGTGACAGGCTTGACCTTGAAGGAGCTGGGGGTGGTGACAGCTGACAGGGAGCTCTGGCGTGGGCTGGTCCATGAGGTCACGAAGAGTTGGAAGCGACTGAACGAACAAACAACAACAACTTTCCCTGTACTTTTCTTACTCATCTGCTTTCTGTCACGGTGTCTACATATTTGTAGGAATGTGTGGCATGTGGAGAAAGGCTTTTAGACACTGGTGGTTACTCAGTGCGTCTGCTCTGCTTGGGGGAGGCTCATGTGGCGAAGATGTTGCCAAACTTTTACTCACCAAGTATGAAAGAATAAAGAAGCATGCCTTAAAATGCTCCTCTATGAGCAGGCACTATGATCTTTCTTGCAGGGTGTGCTGCTAGCAACAAGCACACCTGACAGGTGGTAATCCAACAACTGTTTAAAAACTTCTAGAGAAGACAACTGTACCACACCCTTGCAGCACATTCCATTATCAAACAGTGCTTACCATCAGGAAGTTCTTTCTAATGTCTAGAGGGACTCTCTTTTCCTGTAGTTTGAATTCATTGCTCTGTGCCCTAGTCTCTGGAGAAGCAGATATATTCAGCTCCATAATCAGCTCCTCTTAGGGCACAACTTCCAGACCACTTACCATTTTAGTCACCTTCCTCTGGACATGCTTTAGCTTGTCCATATAATTCTTGAATTATAGTGCCCAGAACTGGTCACAGTATTCCAGATAAAGTATGACCAAAGTAGAATTGAGTAGCACTAGTACTTCCCTTGCTCTAGACACAAAACTCCTATTGATGCAGCCTAGAATTACATTACTTTTTAAAGCTGTCATACCACATTGTTGACACATAATTCTAACTTTACAATTGACCATGCCGTCTCCAATTCAGTTCTCCAGTTTATTGTCAGTATAATATAATGGAGTATGCATTAAAATGACCTTAGCATATGTTTTTTAAGAAGTCATACTCTAGTCTTTTGTTTTGACAGAGTACATATTTCCTGCACAAAAAGCTTTTTATTTTCCAGTAAGCTAACTGTTGTTTTCAATTAGAATATCATGAAATTAACATTCACCTTGAACTAGAAACAATATCGATACTGTCTGAAATATGTTTGATTTTCTATTCTCGGCATTGTTTATCATATTGAGTGTTCATCCCATAAGTATTACAAAAAACAAAAATATTCTTGGCATAATAAAGTGCATGCAACAAAATGTTTTAAAAACTATCGTTAGTAGGGGGGAAAAAACCTTTTGATTGATGAGTTGCAAAGTTGGAATTATTGAATGCCACTATCAGAAGGTATTTACTGGCATGAGAAAAGATTGTACTCAATTTTTCATTTCCCATAACAAATGGTTATTGTGTCTGAGACACACACACACACACACAGGTTGGAAAGTTGTTTTTTTTTTAAAAAAAAACACAATTCTAATAATTTCCCAGCTACTATGGCCACTGGATGTGCTGGTTTGGGAATTTTGCAAGCTGTACATAATTTTACATTAATCTTGCATCTCATTTTAATCTTGTACTTTATAGTAATTTTTGTTTTAAGCTTCTTTGGATCCTGCACTGGGAGAAAGGCAGGAAATAAGTAAACAAACAAACAAAACAAATATAATTACAACTGCAAATTAGAGTATGAACGGAACCTGCACAGAATGCTCATAGTCTGGAAAGTCTTGCCCATTGAGGGACATCTAGCCATCTCACTATTGATCTTCTTCTGAATAGAAAAGACCACCATCTTCTTGAAGTTTTTGGTTTATTAGATTAATCATATCTCAATCCTACACTGTATTGTTATTCCTTACAGGCATTAGTTTAAACTATCTGGTATCTCATCTTTTTTAGTCTGTCATCTTCTTAATTTATTAGTGTTTTATGCTTTTATTGTTATGTTATGCTTATTTTATTCAACTATCTTGGAATTTGCAATTGGAAAAGTGGGATAGAATTTTTAAAATAAAAAAATAGTGTTTTGAGAAATTATATATTTTGTTGCCAGCTGTCACACTTGTGATACTACAGTATGCTTATTTTCTGTAAGAATACATGTTTCAATATATTCCTTATTTCTTATCCGTGGTATTATTGTTATTAAAAATATTTACATAGACTACAAATAGATAAAGTGCAGTCAAACTCCCATGTCTGCAAGGAATATGTTTCTGGATTGCTTTTGGAAACAAAGAATCGTAGTTAGTAGTGAGCCTATTGAAATGGATATCTTCCAGCAAAAGCATACCATAGAATCATGTTAAGGATATAAAAGTGGCTGGAGAGAACATCTCTCTAACATTGTTATGTCATCCAGTCCTTCAACTCTGTGCTCAACTTTGATGAAAGAATACCATAGAACTACACTGGAGGATCTAGAAAATTCAACGGATGAGAGCACTTATCAAGTGTTGTAGAACCTCCAGCATGACTCAGTAGATAACTTGCAGTGGACATATACCATAGAATTGCACTAGGGGGGCTAGAAAATGCCTCAAAAGAACATATTTTTTCAGATGTGGATAAGTGAAATCACAGGTATCAGTCCTGTGGATATAGGGATTAGTGTATTTAGGAAACTGCATATATACTAATAGAAACTAATTTTTGTAAGTGACATGTGGATGATATAAAAATGAAACTAAATCAGTCATTAAAGGAACTGATAGCTATTATAAGTAGCTTGTTTTCCTTCCATAATGAGAATTCATCAGAGGTAGTTGCCCTAGGTTGTTGTAGGTTTTTTCGGGCTATATGGCCATGTTCTAGAGGCATACTCTCCTGATGTTTCACCTGCATCTATGGCAAACATCCTCAGAGGATGCTTGCCATAGATGCAGGCAAAACGTCAGGAGAGAATGCCTCTAGAACATGGCCATATAGCCCGAAAAACCCTACAACAACCTAGTGATTCCGGACATGAAAGCTTTCGACAATACAGTAGTTGCCCTATCTTTCAAGTTCAGCCTGTGTTTACCTTCCAAAAAGGCAACCAACACAAACACACAATTTAATCCTGAGAACCAAAAGGAAGAACTGCAATGTTTGGGGAAATGCAAAAACATAATGATCAGTATTGTTGAATGGCTTTAGGGTACTCTGTCTCTAAAGTTACATATGGAAAGTTGTGGAAAAACTACACCCCACAATGCACTGGTCTGTTGAAGGTCTGACTTGATTTTTTCTTAAATGACTTGTACATTTCTAAATTGTCAGGTAAGGGAAGAGCTTGGAAATTTTAATTTTGGTTTACAGTTCTCCGAATTCCAGTGGACACCCTGGCTGGGGCAGTCAGGAAGCTGTAGTGCAAAATTACCATTTCCAAGCCCTGTTAATGAGGAACACAGTTTTGTGTTCCTGTGCATGTCTGTTCACATGATTATCTTCTCTGCCTATAACCAGACAGAGATGGCTTGAGAGACTGTGTCCCTGTCTAACCCAAAGCTAGCAATGTTCTGAGGTGTATGAAAATACTAAGCATATAAAGTTCTCTAGAATAAGGTGGACAGAGGATAAACCTTTTAACTGCACAGATGATTCTTTCAGTGACAGAGCAGGGGCAATGGATACCTGTGCATGTGTTCTTGCTTTAAAAGCATTCTACTGAATTTCTTCCAGAAGTCAATACTTGCTTTCAACATCTTTTTGTTTCCACAGCTCATCATGTTAAAACTGGAACTTGTGAAGTGGTGGCTCTCCACCGATGTTGCAATAAAAACAAGATAGAAGAAAGATCACAGACAGTCAAGTGCTCCTGCTTCCCCGGGCAGGTAGCAGGTACCACTCGAGCTGCGCCTTCTTGTGTTGATGGTGCGACATCTTTTGTTGCTTTTTCTTCCTTCTCGAGCCATATTCCTTGAGTTCTTTAAAGGATTGCCTTTTGTTTATTCCCATGGGTGTTTATAATGACAAGGAGAATTATTTGAAGGTACATCCAAGGTGAATGGTAGATGGAGAATTTTAAATAAATTACTAAGTCTGATTGTGAAAAAAACAAAACCCTTGGGCAAAAAAAAAAGATGGAAAAGTCTGAATGCCCATAGTGCTGAATTGATTTAATTAATTCCAATATTTGTTAGAGACATATTATGATCACTCACATTGTGAATAACAAGATTTGGAGGTGGGTCTGATCAGGAATGAGGTGATCGGAAAGCCTAAAAATCCTCCACACCACAAACCAAACCAATTTAAATCACTCTTTTTGTTCTGAAAATTTCTTTTTTGAAAATTTATATATTTATATATTTATTATATTTCTATCTCGCCTTTCTCAAGCTCAAAGGCAACTCAAGGCAGCTTACAAATTGGCAGCATTTTGATGCCATAAAAATTCACAATGTACAATCAAAACATTTAAAACAGCATTATAAAATCAATATGAAATTAATACAATACAAGAACCATTAAAAACATATAATAACCAATGTCTTCCTGTTAATTTCACTTTCCAGTAGCATCGTTTAAGCCATTCCATGTTTCAAACTTACATAATTCTGTGTTTGTCTTTTGCACAGCATTTCCAAAGGCTTGTTCAAAGAGCCAGGTTTTTAATTTTTTGGAAGGTCAGGAGAGAGGGAGCCGATCTAATATCCCTAGGGAGGGAGTTCCACAGCCAAGGGGCCACCACTGAGAAGGCCCTGTCTCTCGTCTCCCTCCAGACATGCCTGCGAAGAAGGCGAGATCGAGAGCAGGACCTCCCCAGATGATCTTAAATTACTAGGTGGTTCATCGGGAGAGATGTGTTCGGACAAGTAAGCTAGTACTGTGTACTGTGCTACCTACAAGACAAATGCCACATCTAGTTTGGGTAGGAATCACAAAGTTCTGCAGATGTTAGGGATCCCAGAACCATTTTAAGGTAGGAGGATCTCAACATTGGCAAGCAGATTTTTGTTATCAGTATTTTTACCTAGTTATAGATACTTGCAGTGGGAGTGCAAATTATTTTTCTCATTCATTTTCATGCAACCATTTGTAAATAGGAAGACTCCTGCCAATAAAGTGTCCTCCATGTGTTCAGTGTAGCCTACTTCTTAGTAATTGTGCATAGGATAGATTGCAGGCAACTTTTCTTATTCCTGGAAGTGCTCAGTGGTAATACCTGTCTTTATCTTACTGCCTGATCATTTAATGCACATTTAATGGATAGTTCCTGAGGAAGGTCAATTACCTAAAAATCTGGGTAGTCCAATTTTTTTGGGTCATTTCAATGGGGCTTAACCCACTCAGCTTAGTACTGGGAGGAGTTAGGTCCCCCTTTCACCTCTCTTTGGTGGCCTGTGACAGAACTATGTGGAACTGAGTTGTGGAACAGCTCAGACAATGTTTTTGGACAATGAGATGAACATTAGTTCATTAGTTTTATATGTTTTTAAATGGTTTTATTGTATGAATTTTATAAATTTGTTTTAAATGTTTCAATTATATATTGTATATTGTTATGACACCAAACGGCTGCCGGTTTGTAAGCCACCTTGAGTCACCTTTGGGTTTGAGAAAGGCAAGATAGAAATATTATAAATAAATAATAAATAAATAAATGTTGGACCATAACTCCCAACAGCCATAGCTAATCGTAACTAAAGGTGAGGACTTCTGGCTTTGCAACTGAAACATCAGACAGATTACATTATCTCTATCCATGTGTTAAGATTTTGTTCAAGTCTAAAACACATCTTTTTTTTTAAAAAAAAGGAAACACATTTGACTTTGACCAATGTGTAGAACTCTTTGGAACAGTGTATGATCTCTTTTCTGAAATTGTTATGTTGTCAGCTATCACTAAATAGTAGATATATCACCTTCTGTGGGAACATTTTTTCTCAATAGTTCAGAATATAGTGGATATATGGAGATTAAACTTTTAAAGTGAGATCAGGAGAAATTAGCCAGAAGATTAAAATGATTAGTTCTCAACAGATTAAATTAATCCTACATGTATCTGACAATAACTGTAAGGTTTCACAATGCTTGAGGGACGGTGGCCTCTCTGTCCTATTGCATATAAATGGCTTTATAAGTGTAATTGCCCAATAGATCCTATTCTGAACATAACTATGAACCAACTTTCAAAAATGTTTTCAAAATGTGTTCTATGTTTCTTTAGCTTCAATAGTGGAGCAAAAATGGTGGTGCCACATGCAACCATGTCTTGAAGGAGAGGAATGTAAAGTTCTTCCAGATCGAAAAGGATGGAGTTGTTCTTCTGGGAATAAAGTGAAAACAACAAGGGTAAGTATTAAGTTCACGTGAAATTTAGTTGGCAGTTTTGGGAAGAGAATGTTGGGCTCAATGTATCATGTGTTTCATAAAGTAAAGCAGTATTTAAACATGGAAGAACACAATCACACAATGAAAGTCTTAGATTAAATTCAAATTAGCTGCATTTAAGATTGAATTGAAATCTGTGTGACTTTACAATTAGTCATGACAAACCTGAATGCCATTTATTTCAGTTGGTCTTGAAATAAAATAGATTAAGTCTGGATTCAACACTAGATGTTTTCTCTAAAAAAATTAATAATTTTTTATTGTTTTATTGTGTATATAGGAATCAAAACAAATTAACAAAAAAAGAAGAAAAATATGCAAAAGGTTTACAAAAGGGTGTACATTCAGTGCTAGTTAAAAATATGAAAAATCAGACTTGACTGTACAGTTAATTATACCTTAACATTTCTTAACCCTCTATCCCCACACCTGTGAACCCCACCCCATGACCTCTGAGGCCCCTCAAAAAAGGATCACACAACTAACAAGCAACTACCCTTATATCTTCTTTCACCAAATACCCTTTATCGCAATCTTCAAGTTTACCTTTGTCTTCTTTTCCAGATACCAAGCGCCAGCCTCCATTTGTTTGCAAATTCTTCATTATTTCCTTCTCTGCTGCTATTTGTCAGCTTGGCCACTGTAGATGTTGAGATGGTTGCTTTTCTTTTATATAATCATCCTGAACCAAAAGATTTTAAAATCATATTAAAATCTTTCTAATCAGCTGCCTGCTGAGGAAGGTAGAACTGAAATTAGGTTCATCTTCTCATTTCTGATATTGATTTGACTGAAAGTAAATGCAGTACTCTATACATCTTTGGAGAGTTTTTCTTTTTGAAATTGCTGTTTCAGAAACTAATTCAGCCAATACCTTAATGGAAAAACTTATAGGTTTCTTTAAGGACTTAATCCCTTGCTTACATTAAGATCACAGTGGCAGTGGAAAAGAGGAGTGACCTGCCACCTCATCACACATGATGAATTTAGCATCATAGTTTTTTTGTGTGTGTGTGTCAGGAATGACTTGAAAATCTGCAAGTCGCTTCTGATGTGAGAGAATTGGCCGTCTGCAAGGACGTTGCTCAGGTGATGCCTGGATGTTCTGATGTTTTACCACCCTTGTGGGAGGCTTCTCTCATGTATCCACTTGGGGAGCTGGAGCTGACAGAGGGAGCTCATTCACATTCTCCCTGGATTTGAACATCTGACCTGTTGGTCTTCAGTCCTGCCAGGGTTTTACACATTGCGCCACCATGGGCCAGGACGCTTCATCCTCAGAGCCCACCAAAAACTATAATACAACAAATGGGAATTTCTGGCGGGGCTCCCTGGAGAAGCATCCTGGTAAGATGCCTCCCTCGGAACGTGGGCGGCTTCCCATGTTCTGTTGGGAAGCACGGGGCTAGTGTGGGGGGAAGCTGCATGTGGGATGGGGAAGTGTCACTGCAGGCAAGGTGGGGCACCGGGATTGCCCCGCTGCCCAACCGATTCACCATGGAGAGTGGTGAAGTATCCTGAGGAACTTCATCCATGTGACGAGGTCCTTAAAAACGGAGCATTTACTTCATACATGGACAGGACAACCTCTGATTTACTTAAATCTCATGTCTATCTCTAATCAAATATACCCATGACTTTTAGAATATTAAGCAATACCTATATTTACTTGAGTCTAATGTGCCATCGACTCTAATATGCACCTCAATTTTTAGAAACCTGAAACACAAAAAAGTATTTACCATATTACGCAAATCTAATGTGCACCCTAATTTTGGGAAGGTAATTTAGTCAAAAAAGAAAAGGGAGAATAGTGTAAATACGGTATATAAAGTGCATAAATCCTTTGGATTAAAAAAAAAAGATTACCAGAATTCCTCGCATTCTTCATTTTTTTTAAATGAGAGCAACATTTAGAATAAAAACAAAAAGAAACTGAGTTATTAAGAAACTAAAAATACTCAGCTATATATAAAATGTGAATAACCTCTTTCGGCTTGTAAAATGGAATTCATAAATGTTTATTATGACATTAATATACAGTTTTATACTTGCTGCCTTCTCATAATATTTTTCTAAGTTCTTTATGATTTTGTACTTAATACAGATGTGTATAAAGATTCTGCATTATATAATAGCAGTTTATATAGTTTCCTTTTTATTCAGAACTATTTCATCTCAGAATAGTAGTATTCAAAGGGCAATGGATATTTAGAATGAGGTTAATACAGATCTTTCTGGGAAGTCATTATTACAAGAATTAGAAGGCAATCGATCAAAGCTATCTGTGTCATTCGGGAAAGAAATGCCACATACAGATGTTTGTGAGCACTACTCACATCTTACTATAAGAATAGTTGCCTTCAACTATGTTCTATTCTGCATATAAGCATCTTCTGGTTTTGCGATCATTTTAACTCTCATTTTAAGAAAAGGTAAAAGTAGGCCCATCATTGAAAAATGAAAGAATGGGTTAGAGACAAGACACTGGCATCAGAAAAACAAACATATTAACTTGAAAAAAGATATCTCAATAAGTATTTTTCAATTAGGTTGGAATTGTAAATTCATATCAGAAAAGGATGAGGTCTGTTGCCCTCAAAATGGGCAGAGTATGTTACTATTATAAACTTCCTGAATTATATGGCAACCTCTACCAGTGGCACAGTGGGTTAAACAGCTGAGCTGCTGAACTTGCGGACCGAAAGGTCATCAGTTTAAATCTGGGGAGCGGGGGTGAGCTCCTGCTGTTAGCCCCAGCTTTTGCCAACCTAGCAGTTCCAAAACATGCAAATTAATAGGTACTGCTCTGGCAGGAAGGTAACAGCGCACCATGCAGTCATGCTGGCCACATGACCTTGGAGGTTTTTATGGACAATGCTGGCTCTTCAACTTAGAAATGGAGATGAGCACCAACCCCCAGAATCAGACATGACTGGATTTAATTTCAGGGGAAAACCTTTACCTTTTACCTACCAGTTAGGTTGGATCTACATTGCCATATAATCCAGTATCTGATCCCAGATTATCTGCTTTGAACTGGATTATATGAGTCTACACTGCCATATAATTCAGTTCAAAGCAGATAATTTGGATTTTTTTGGCAGTGTAGATAGGGCCTTACTGCAGGTGAAAGAAAGAAAAATGTGGATCCCAATATTATTTTCCATGCTAGGCAGTATTGCTTGTCTGCTCCTGCCAGTATATTCTAAAATCTTGCAAATATTAGCTAACAGATAGTGCTGGAGTAGTTTAGGTCTCTGTGTGTCTACTCAGAAGTAACCCCCCGCTGAGTTCAATTTGGCTTAACACCTGAGCAAGTATATATAGCACTTCTGCCCTGATGTGATACCTGGCCTTCATCCAATAGCTGAGAGAGATGAGATAAAATGAGAGTAGAATCCTCTCTGTGAGCCTGAATTGTATCTGAAAAGAAACTTGAACATTGCGGTAGTTGCCAAAATGGTTGTGAATTGATATATCCCAAAAAAGACTATTACGGAGACTATGATAATTTGTAAGATTAATATAATCATCTGGAGCCGACAATTGTTGTTATAGCTCTCATGATCCCCATTTGTTCTGCTACTACTGATTCTACTTAGTTGCCTGCCAGCTGAGGAAAAGTGGGGAGAAGGATGGATAAGGAGGCACAATACTGTAGGGCTGAGAATGAGTCCCTGGATATCGAGCTGGAATTTATCTTGAAACCAAGGCTGATATTAGTGTCAATGAAGCAGCTATATCGGTTGATGATCTGTCCTCCTCTGAATTACAACAGATGCATAAGCACTTCAGGCAGCTGCGAAGAGGAGGAAAATAGGACAAGTGCTGCTGTCTGTGCTGGTTAAAAAAAAGTTTGAAATATTGCTCTCCTGCTAGCGTCTTCCCTTTGAGTCTTCCTGCTTTCTCAATTTCTTCTCAGAAATAGGACTGTAGTTCAGATTAAGCAAAGATTTGTTGTTGAGTGTCATTTATCTTGAAAGCAAGTATGCAGCCTGTGAATCAGTGTTAGCAATAGATGAGATTCCGTAGGACAATACAATAAAGGATGGCCAGAACATCAGAAGGTCAGTGAAATATCTCTCATGTTCCAGGTGACATTTTCAAGTGATCTAAGATGGAATAGGAATTGCTTAGTTCAAGGGAGAATTCCAATCAAAGCAATTTGAAGATTACCAAAAGAATGATGTGGAATGGTATCTCAGTCTGGAATATTACTCACATTTATTAGGCAGGACATTAGAAGAGAAGACAGCATACAGTCCATGATTGTATCGTGTGTAGATAAAGTCCATGTAGAGGGCAGAAAAGTAGATACTGAGAAATGCTACATTTTGAAAACCTTGCTAAAATCCCAGGCTGCTAATATAGGAGGAAGTGGTCTTCCATCAATCGTAGCACCAAGTGGTTTATAGCTTTGCATGCAAACTCTGTGCTTTTAGCTAAGCTCTGAAACAGATTGAAAGTTAAAAATTTAAAAGATCTTGGCTGTTACATCAACTTTATCTGGAAATAAATTTTGGCGTTATGTTAGGAGCTGCTTAACAGCCAGCCTGAAATTGAAAGCATGCTGACTAGTTTATGAAATTCCAGCTGGGCCAAATAAAAATACTATTCTATTGTTATTTTTGGAATAAGATAGTATTTCCAGGCTGCTCATGTCATTATTCTTACATTTTTCTAACAAATCTCTTCCTCTTCAGCTTTATTTGCCTATTTCCAGGCTACTCATGTCATTATTCTAACATGTTTCTCACTCTACAAACCCCCAAGGACCTTAAGATCGTCTGGAATGGCTCTGCTCTTGGTCCCACTGCCATCGCAGTTGCGCTTGATGGGAACAAGAGACAGAGCCTTCCTGGTGGCGGCCCCTCAGCTGTGGAACTCCCTCCCTAATGACATCGGGTCTGCCCCCTCCCTCATGGCCTTCTTGAAGAAGGTCAAACCTGATTATGGGA